CAAGTGTGACAATACTTAATGTAAAAAGGAAGTTGTATCTTTTCCTACACTCAGACCCTGAGTTCCACAGCCCTAATTTGGTTAGCTTGAATTGGCCACTCACAATTTGACTTGAATTTCACTAAGTCAAAATAAAGTCCTTCTAATGAAAATACATGTTCTCCTCCCTAATCTCAACCTAATCTCAACCTAATAAGGTAAGGAAAGTATAAACTCGACATAGTATGTCACATCAGTCACAGCACAGCCACTTCCCCATTAGGAAGGACCCTGATGGCAAAAATCGAGTGGTGGACATCAACATTTTTTTAGCACTTGTAAATACAAAAAAAAATATAGATTATGGTTTTACAGCTTAGCCAGAATACTAGCTGGAAGGATTCTATAGCTATAGTATTTCTTATTTGCCCATTAAGCCTGTGCTCCTGTCAACCCCTTTCTATATGCATCCATAAACTGAGCAGACTAGTTACAATACCTACAAAACATATAATAAAATCAATTTTGTAAGAAAGAAAGATTTAAAGTACTTACTTTTAAAATAAATCAAGAGGAATAGAATCAAGGCATGTTTGAACATGCTTTTCCATTTGAGCTTCAGTAGTAGGGGCAGGCATCATCTGGTAGTTGAATTTAGCATAACTCTAGAACTGTCTGTCAATTCATCAGGCTTAATTAGGACAACAGTCTTTATATCCTCTCTAAAACCTAGAGTGTTGAACTCTTCCTTATTGTTAGTCTATAAGATTTGGCTTGAACTTGTAGCCTATTTCTTGGTAAGCTATATTGTTTATTACTCAGTCTTAAGCATATCTTACAGGTTTATTACTCCTCAGATTCTGTATTCTGACTTTATCCCTTCCCTTTTGTTAGGGCATTATAAGTAGAACAGAGGAAAATGGGTCTAAATAGCTAATATTTACTAATCAAATGTACATTACTCATCAGGCACGTGTTCTATATAAGGAAATAATTATATAATAGATATTTAACCAAAGTGGCAAAAATCTTTAGGAAAAAATTCAAAATTTCACCAAATTGCATTTCTGTACATTTGGTACTAAAAAAAAAGGTTTTTTTTTGGAAATAACTCACTCAAATCTCAATATTTTAAAAATCAAAAACATACTTTTGTAAGTTAGATTAAGCTGAATATATCTATGTAGCTCAAATTTGCATTTTTAGGATACTGAGTGTTGTATTTTGCCATCATTGTTTGCATCCAAATTGGGTTAGTCTGTTACATTACACTATATTGAGTTTATACTTTCCTTACCTTACCTAAACCTAACAACCTAGCTTAGCCAAAACCTAATTAGGAGGGCAGAGCCCCTTTAAACCCTCCTCCTAACTTCTTAGTCTGAGAACTGCTACACAGATATTAAGTAAGTGGCCATTCAGGGTTATCCCTAAATAGACTGTAGGATTCAGAGTCTAAGTGTAGAAAATCAAAGGTCTGAAAATGGTAGTAATGTAACAGAACATTTTAATTTACAAAATTGTAGTAAAGAGTTTAAAACTAAATACTAAAGGATTAATGTGTATTATATATATTTACACAAGTATATTGTTCTAGTTTTTGTATAAAGTAGTACTAGTAGAAAGTAATGTGTTTATATATGTTAATAAACTAATATATAAATACTTTAGTAAATACAGTTTATAATACTGTATTAGTTAAATAATAATACACTCTATTACTAAAATACATTATACTAAATTAGTTAACACAGTAAGTTGTATTTAAGTTAGGCAAGATTTCTTACAAATAGACTTATTCAATTTGTAGCCAAAAAGTGAGTCAGAATCTTGTAATAATCATAGGAGGCAGAATCCCATTTTGTAATCCTAGAAATTTATTACAAAATTTGAAAGCTACTACCTGATTGGCTGGAAATACATTCTAAAACAAATTCTCTGGGTTTTAGATTAGGTTTCTGCCTCCTATGAATAGAACTATAGTAAAACCTCTTATTAAGTATTACTCTTAGTAGATATAAAAAGTAATACTTATTAAGAGGTTATACTTGTTAACAAGTAAAATTCTAGTGTCTACAAGAGTAATGGTAGACCTGAAATGTCATGCTTAATAAGAGGTTTTACTGTAAATTATAAGTTTTTAGACTAGTAACAGTTTTATATAGTTTATATTCTAAATACCTGATAATAGAAATAATATTAAGGAGAGCTATTACATATTTCACATAAGGCTATAGTTTGAGCAGGATCTGTTAGTATACAATACTAACATTAATACAGGTAAACTAAACTTTAGTATTTGAGATTAAGATCCAGTGTCTTGTTAAAACTATATATAACTAAAAGTACAGATTACTAAAGATTAGAGACAGCTAAATCTAGTAAATTTTCTCATGTACAGAATATACTGTTGTTAGAAAGGGATTATAAGTAACAGAAAGTATAGTTATCCTTGACTTGATGACTAGTTCAGCATTTGAAGAGAAGGAGTTGTTCCCATGATTACATATCATTGTCTGTCAGATATTCCCACGATTAGCGAATGATGTAATTGCAATTATTAGGCAGTGGTTATCTACCACATGCCTTTCTTTTCCTCCCTACTGACAGCGAATGTTGCCTTACCACCTCTTGCAGAAGGTCTGAACCACTACTATAAGACTCTTATCTAGTTATGAATTCTGTATTGTTCTCTGTAATCTTGGGTGCAGCTAAATTTGTCACTTATCCTATCCCATCTGGTAATTTCCATGCTAAATTTGATGAGCACTGCCTACTTTCGAACGCCTGAAGCATGTTACCTCACATCTTGGTTCAGACATACAGGATCCACTGATTCTGTATTGTATTTCCTTGTGTAACATCAGCTGTGTGTTTTCTGTACTACAATGTAGTGAGCCTGTTTCTTGTCACTCTAAATCCGTTCCGCGACTTACGGTCATCGGCTAACTTCAAGTGACCTTCACACTTCTCTCGAAGTAGATGTGTGTTACATAGGAACTTATCAGAAGCCGGCGATGGTGAACTATCGTCAGAAATACCTGTTATGTTGCTGTGTATATCCGCAGCTTCACCATCGGCCAGCCGCATTCCGCAGACGACAAGACCGTTATGACATACGATTTTCATTTCAAACTGCATTCCCACGCCGATTTTCTGATTGGTCCATCATGTTAATCATCTCTAAACACGTCTAGACTCTAAAGTCCAGAGGTGCTAGCTTCTTCATATTCTTGATTACTCTACACGTGTACGGCACAACCATACTCACACAGTTGATGTATTACAGAATGGCATAAAAGACTGCATGTTTTCGCTTTGGGGCTGTAGCAAACCTGGGTATGTCAAATACTTCTCTTTGTTCTGATTACAATGCTCATGTTTCATTAATCACGGAAATCTGACATGCACGAAATATTTAGAAATGTCGTAATGGAGCAAGGTGAATGATACGGTGATGTGGCTGAGCGCTGTTCTATTTTGTGTGTATTGAAAGCCACTGATATGGGGTTCAGAAAATGCAAACACTATAAATCCGAGTGTAAATTCGGGATATAGCATTTCCGCCAGGATAGACACGATCGACACGCCCTTTTACCGTTCACTAATCGTAACGTGTTTTTATTCTTTCTGTGCAGCAGGAGCCATTGTAGTGTTGCTTTAAAAGATCTGAGACATCACTTTAAATGTGATGCCAGAGGCTGGCAGCTTTCTGTAAACAGAATGACATGGGCGGTCAAGTGAGGTGGAGCCAAGCCGAATTTGGAAGCCTTGTACTCCGTGTTGGGAACTCAACATCCGTAGAAGGTGCGACGAATGAATTGTCCGATCAGTACAGCGGGTACTCTTGCTATCGGTAGAATGTAAGCAACGTTTTTTTTTCTGTACATAACAGCACGAAAATTTCACCTGTTCCGTAATTAGAATCGATCGATCAACCCGGTCCACGTTCTTGGACTAGATTGACACCACTCGGAGTGCACATCCGAGAAGGTATTCCTGCTATCCTTTCTTCTTCAAAGCTAAGTTCTCGCAGTATTAATTCCTGAACTTGGCCAGTGCTGCAACTTCTTGAAAATATCTCTTAGACTGCTCCTCTGTCTCTTTTCTCACCCAAAGCTGATAATGCTAGTCTCAGTGCAAGTGTTGGGCATGCAGGAGGGCTCTATTAATGATTCTGTTCTTATGCACAAGTATCCACATAATCAAAAACGATTTGTCCTGGACGCTCAAGTCATGACTTGACTTCTTTGACTGCTATCCGTTGATAGTACGGCACTTTCTCATTTGATATTTTTGGTTTCGCTGTATTTAAAGCTCTTCCCCCCCGCCACTTTGGATTGGCCTGTATAGCTTGTCATGACTTTCGCTCTCTCCTTACCGCAGGCAGTAGCTGCTTCTCTCGTCCTCTGGGTGTTATGGCGTTTACTTCGTCCCCTTGTTGTGAAATCGCCTCTATCACTCATTCCTGGACCACCAAGCTCGTCTTGGTGGAAGGGTGAGCGCTTATTTACCTTAACGAAGACTGTATTAATAATGGCTATCTATGTATTGTGTCATTTACAGGCAACTTTCACAGGGTATACGATCGCGAGGGATGGGAATATCACGACATGCTACTGAAGGATTACGGAGGAGTCGCTCGACTTAACATGCTGCTCGGAGTGCGCATTTTCTCCATTCTATTCACTGCTCACCTGACGGTTTAACTGATAACTTGTGGTCGAACAGGACGAGCAACTTTACGTTGCCGACCCCCTTGCTCTCCACTATATTTTAGTGAAAGAACAAGCTACATATTCGGAACCTGACATGTTCATTTCGTTCGTCCTGACCTTACACTCGTCCCGAAACTCTAACTGAAGTATTGTTTCAGATCCATAAATAACACTTTTGGGCCTAATCTTATATCAGTCCAAGGTAACTGGTCCATTACGTTTGCCCCAATCCGCAACAGCTGACTTTCATTGTGGTCATGTCAGGGGAGCAACATAAGAAGCAGAGAAAGATGCTCAACCCCGCTTTCTCTACCAAATATTTACGCGAACTCGTTCCGTTATTCCATCGTATCGCTTACCAGGTAATTAAATAATCCGTTCACTAATGTGATATTATTGCAATCTCATTCACAATTTACAATATCAAATCCAGTTTCGTGACGTCCTTGCAAAGCAAGTCCATAATGGCGAGAAGGAAGTTAATATAGTAGAGTCGGTTTCGCGTGCTTCACTCGAGTGCATCGGACAAGGTGGGGTAGGACACTCGTTTAATGCCCTCAACGAGACGTCGACGAGCGAATACAAGGAGGCGATCAAAACATTTGGGTAAGTATTTATTACTATCTCTCGGATTCATCAATACTCATACGTATACTCTACGGTCTTGTTTCTTAGCCCGATACATTATCAGCTCTTCCTGCCTCGTATGATTCTCCCTTGGCTAGAGAACATTGGATCGCCTCAATTCCGTAGAAAAGTCGTCGAACTCATACCGTCTAAACTCGTGCAAACAATGGTAAACATTGTAGATGTCATGGATAATACTTCTCAAGAAATCTTCCAGCAAAAGAGGCTTGGTTTCGAGCAAGGTGACAAGGCTATCATGGAACAAGTGGGCGAGGGAAAGGACATGATGAGTGTCCTAAGTAGGTCTATTCTGATATCTGTCGTACACTTGTTAATCACCTTTTTTTTATTTCAGTGAGGGCGAATATGGCTGCTGAAGAGGCTGATCGTCTTCCCGAGGCCGAGATCATTTGTCAAATGAAGTGCGACACCTTCCTCTTCATATTAACAAGATGACTTAGCATGTACACTTTTTTAAATTTAGCGTGTTTCTCTTTGCCGGGCACGACACGACAACACTAGCTATCAGCCGCATCCTAGATAAGCTCGCATCACACCAAGACGTACAAGATAAACTTCGTGAAGAAGTCACAACCGCACGAAAAGAACATGGAGACCTCGACTACGAAACGCTCATGTCCCTTCCATACCTTGACGCCATCGTTCGCGAGACACTCCGTCTCTACCCTCCCGTTCCGCAACTGATGCGCGTAGCACGCAAGGAGACAGTATTACCATTCCTCTGGCCCGTCCAGTCTGTGGATGGTAAATCCGAGATCAAAGAAATCGTCATTCCGAAGAACACAGGGTTCATGTTGTCGATTATTGGTATTAATCGGAGTAAGAGGATTTGGGGAGAGGACGCGGAGGAGTGGAAGCCTGAGCGATGGTTGAGGCCTTTGCCGAAAAGTGTTTCGGACGCGCATATACCGGGTGTGTTCGCTTCGACGTAAGTTGCATATAGGCATTCTATTTATATTCAGATTCATCTAATCATGTCCTTATCAAAGGCTTACGTTCTCTGGTGGAGCGCGATCTTGCATGTGAGTCAATTTGCAATACGTGGTCTTGCTAGTTTAACCGCTCATTTGTTTTACAGAGGATACAAATTCGCAGAGATGGAAATCAGTAAGCACATCCTATTCCGGTCCCCTATTCGTTCCACTAAATTCATAATGTTATATCAGAGCTCATACTCTCAGTCCTGCTCGAGTCACTCAAATTCACCCCGGGATCGAAGGAGGTCTTCTGGGCAATGAGCTTCTTAACGTCCCCTGTACCTAAAGGGTCGAAGGACCTCGAACCAGACCTTCCGATGAAGGTTTCATTGGTTGAGCACTAGATGATTAGATGACTAGATGATTTGGATTTATAATTGGAATAGAACGATTGGTAGTTAGGCAGCGTTGTGATAGTTATCATGTAAATATGTAATGTAGAATTATATCTGGTAAAATGCTTATTCTTGTTTGTCCTTCGTCGACTGTACCAGCCTTTACTGCAGTGTGATGTTTCAGACACAATTACAGTATACCTGGAGTCTTTGCGTCGACGTAAGTTGCATAAAGGCATTTCTATTTATATTCAGGTTCATCTAATCACGACTTTATCAAAGTCTGACGTTCTTGTCTTGCACGTGAGTCTACACAAATTACACAACTCCATCCCGTCATATTAATTTCCTTATTATTCTATAGAGGATACAAATTCGCAGAGATGGAAATCAGTAAGGACATACCACTCTGCTCTTCTATTTACTTTGCTAAATTTCCAATGTTGTGTCAGAGCTTATACTCTCTGTCCTTCTCGAATCACTCAAATTCACACTGGGTTCAAAGGAAATCATCTGAGCAATGAGTTTCTTGTAGTTAAAGGGTCAAAGGGTCTTGAAACAGACCTTCCAATGAAGATTTTGTTAGTAGATCATTAGACAAATACTTAGATGATTTATTGTAGGCTTTGATTCAAGATAGAACAGTTGATAGGTATAAATGGCTTATGTAGTGTTGTGATAGTTATTGAGTACATAATATATGTAAGATTTATGTCTGATCAAGCAGTTTCTCTTTGTTTATCTGCAGAGTGTTCATGTGTGTAGTATTCTATGATTAAATATACTGGCACTATCCAGGATAGGATTGATTCATGCATGCAGGCACACAATGAAAATAACAAGCTTCAATTTCTCATGCGTGTAATTAATCAACTCATAATTTTACCGATTCTCAACAATGGGGACAGGTGATACTAATCATGTGTAGCTGCATATACGCTTCTGGTCACTTGAGAGGATAACCCTCTTCATCATCGAGGCCTATGCTCTGCGAAGTTCATATCGACGGAGTTCTCAAGCACTCACTGAGGTCATACACGCATGTTTATTAGAACAAGAGCGGCATCATAGCACGCTAAGCCATATGAGGATGACTGTCCTATATTGGGCGAAAATGAGATGCTTCGAACTGTTGCTGCCTGCGGTTGTCGTGCCCGTACACACGTTTTCTGAAAGGAGTTCCGGATTGAGTCGATGGTTGCACTTGGAGTGAGAGACCAAGCATTGAGAAATAAAAAATGAATTGTCAAGATACCAGCCAGAGAACTGCGTAAACAATTACCAGGCAGTCTTGAGAGTCGCCGTATCGGAAGAAGACGAGCGACGTGGGAAGGGAAGTGTGACGAGTCAATTCAGAAAACGGGTGTGACGATGTGACAGCTACGCAAATCCTCTGTAAATTGAGTATTTTCTAATTCGGAAAAGGAAAGTTACCGCAGCCCTCCTACTCATCCTCTCTTTCATCTCTTTCTTCTCTTGCGTCTCTACTCTTTCTCATTCATGCATTCATAGCTTTGAACAGCAATAACAAGCAAATATGGACCCGGCAGAACAGAGGGCAAATGCAGTTGCCATGCTTCGACGCGCCGCGTCACTTCCCCGCATGAAGGACGGCCGGAGACCTCCCATGCACGGCGAGGCCGGTGGTGTCAGCGAAGGCGAGCGAAGTCATAGCAGGGAAAAGACAGATATCGGCTCAAGGGACGAACAGAAACCAGTCGAGCTAGCTACCTCAGTCGCGCCAGCAACGTCCTTAGAACCAGAGTCTGCCCGCGATCCAGAGCCCGTCGCGGCCACAGCAGACGAGAAAGATGGAGACGATGCGACCGATGCCGCGCAGGAGATATCAGAACCAGAGAGACCGACGTCGACGACGCCTGATAAACCTTCCAAACGACGTTCCCGCTCCCGGTCGCGTTCGCGCGGCTCAAGGGACATGCGTGCCAAAATGCGTCAACTCGAGATCGCATCCCAAGCAGAGGCGTCAACATCATCAGTAGCAGGTGCCATCCCGGGCATGGAGGACATACCACCGATTAGCTCGCCTTCGCCCCAGCTGACCTCTCCGCAGGCGTATCTCATGCAACTCCAAATGGCTGCAGCCGCCGCTCAAGCACCCCAACTCCTCTCTCCGCTCTCTCCATTCGGCTATGCCGCCGCCTTACCAGCGGGAGGCGCTGGCATGGCGGGGATGCCAAGCCTTCAGGCACTACAGACACGGCATTTACAAGGGTTGTTCCGATCAAACAGTGCCGCGGCGCGCTTAAACGCATTGAAGAAGCTCACTGGTGAAGTTGATACAGAATCTGGTCCTGCATCGGCTTCACCCGCTCCCGGTCCAAGCCCTAGTCCTAGCCCAGGGCCTGTCAAACGAGGGCTCACGCGGAATAACACTGTTGCAGGTGAAGAACGTGTTGCTGCGCGCCAGCAATTACTCCGCAGACTGAATGAAGGGATACGAGAACGCGGAGACATCGACTTAACATCGACTTCGGGCACCGAAGATGCCTCATCTGGTACGCAAACCCCGAAGAGTAGGAGAAGACGCTCTCGCAGGAAGAGTGGATCTGCTGTTGTCGATGACCGGGATGGAACGAACGCAGCCAGTGTACTCGCACTAAAAGAAGTGTGGCCTCCACTCATTCCACCTCCTGCCTCCCGTACACCAAGTGTGCCACCTGAACGACAACAGGTTACGCCAAGTCCTGGCCCGCCGTCTGCACCACGAAGTCAGACGTCTACACCATTATTCCAGATACGCCAATACGATTCGCCCATGGCAGACCGCGGACCAGTCGTAGAAGAGGAAGACGACGATCCTCTTCCTACACCTCCACGGGTCTCTCGTCAACCAATCCCGGGCGCTTCAGCAACCACGACTGCTTCTGTATCTTCGTCGTCTGGTGACGCGGGCAGTGCACCAGGTGATAGGGTCCCAGTGGTATTAAGTGACCCCTCCCAGCGAAGTCCGTTTCGCCAGGACGTCTTCCCGAAAAGCCCCTTTGAACGACCACGGGAAGAGCCCGATGAAGAACAGGAACGTGTGTTATATGGCGGGGATACTACCCGTGCACGAAACAAGGCAGCGGACGACTTATTGGAACGTGAGATTAGTTGGGTTGCAGAACCAGGTATGCATTTCTCTTAGTACGTATATAATTTGATCTTCTCTGATGCTCGCTTTAGTACCGACTGTCGCGGATAACGCATTTGAGGGGAGCGAAAGGGAGATCAGCTGGAATGCGGAAGCAGGTGCGTTCACATCAAAGGATAAATGACGATCATATTTCTGATTTACTGATTTATTGCCAGTTCCTGAAGTAGCTCATTTCAACAGAAAGGTTGACCGCGACGTTAGCTGGGTCGAGCAAGGTGCGCTGGTCGTTACAGAAGTTGAGATATAACACTGAGATATTATTCGCCCACAGGCACTCTGGATAGCAGAATGCCGGTTTATGATGAAGACGAGGATGATGAGAACGATGACGAGGTGAAGGCATCTCCGGCCGTCGCTGCTCAGTCGACTTCCCGTCAGCAATCTGCTCGACCTTCACCACGAACAGCTGGTGAATCTCAGGAACTTCTTATAGACCTGGAGACGACACCAGACCATACACCCTCAGATCTTTCGACCAAGTCCAAGCATTCCACTGCATCCACTGCGACGAGGGCCGACAACACGCGTGAAAGCAACGTCTCTGACATGTCTGTCATCTCTGCACATCGTTTAGATACCTCATCCCCGCTCGATCGCACGCACTCACAAGCAGACTCGATCGTTGCAGGCTGGCACGATTTTCCAAATGTGTCAACAGACACAAGTGCTCCTCCATTGACGTCAAAGCGCTCTGCAGATAGTACAGGAGGAGGGACGAGCACGTGGAGTAAAATGAAGCAAACATTCGCGCGGAGTGGTTCTAGTCTCGGCCGGCGTTCACGTACAAATAGTATCGCACGCGAGAAGCGCGGAGATACAGAGTCCAGCCGTGAAAGTGGTGCTAGCCTTATCAGTGGGAAACGCGAATCAAAGGGTGATGGTCAGTGGCAACAACAGCAGCAAGGAGGACAAACGCAGGCGCATGGAGGACAAGGACAACGGGCTCCGTCACCTGGAGCACCTGGTATGATGCTCGCGCCGCTCCCCCCACCTCGTACAGGTGTCTCACCGATTCCGCCGCCCTCGGATTCAGATGCAACGAAGTACCGTAATCCGAAGCTTTTCCCCTTCCCTGGTGTCGTAAAACTTCAAGAAGAGGCATTGCGAAGTAAGGCTGCAGGCGCCAACGTGGGACTATCTGCGTCCTCGCCTGATATTTCTATGCAGACAGGTGTGGGTGCAGATGGTAGCCTTCTTATGCGTAGTGCGAACTCGAGTGTATCGAGTCAGCATATGGAGGTCGCTGTGCGCGATAGGAAGTTATCTCATCAGGCGTCGGATAGCCAATTGCTAAGTAGATATCAGCTTATGCCTGGGCCTGGTACGATTTCAGGCGCGCCATCTTCGGGTGGCGCTCAGATCGATTACTTCGCTATCCCACAGCCACCTCCGTCTTCGAACGTTTCAAGTACTCTGCCCTTTACGAGAGAAGGCGTGAAGAAATGGCTCAATGCGCGTCTTTTCCCAAGTAATTCCCAGCAGGGCGGGCATGCCCCGACGCCATCGCCAGGCATCAAACCGCGTGCGGAGACGGTGAAGAAGCCGTCACTTTCTGACTTGTTGGGCCGAAGTGGGAATATCAGTGACTTGGAAGATATCGATAAAACTCGTGCTGCGACAAGTGCGAGTACGAGCACCGTGGTAGCACAGTCGTCTTCTGCGAATACGTCGCGAGAAGGAGAGATACAGGAGTCATCGCCTGATGACCCAATGCAGGCGTATCAATTTGCGAATGCTTTCCCACATGCACCTGAACCAGATACAGATGCTGTTGTCGACGCTTACGACCCACACGAGCCGCACGAATCGCGTCATTTATCCGCCCCTTTATCGTCTTCACATGACCCATCGTCTGCAACGCCCGATCCCGCCTCTTCAGAGGAATCTCCTTCGCATTCTTCACAGCGTTCTGCGTCGTCACTGGATTCTCTGTTCATGCCGGAGGAAACACCCCCGGAAGCGACGCCGCAAGCTGTGGATATCCTACAACGGCTCGACCAAGTCTTACATGCGGATTATCATAATCGACTCTGGTCATCTGCACTCAACTCTCCTCCACGGAGGTTACTCCTATCTTCACCAATGCTACAGGTCGCAAACTGCAATACAGTCAAAGATCGGTTCTTATTCCTCTTCACTGATTTACTCGTCATTGCGAAGCCTATGCTTCCTGACCGAGATTCGCTCGTCGATCCACAGAAGGTATACCCTCCTGATAGGAAGTTCTTCATCAAGAACGTCGTGCATCTGAAGGATATCAAACTTAACGTTGATCGGGAGGAGGACACACGTCGACCGACGAGTGCGCTTATTTCACAACGACCCGAGTTCATTCGGAAATTTGTACAGGAGTTTGCGGAGGATCCCGATCCAGCTGTGTCGAAGTTAGTTGACTTACGCGACCCAAAGGGGCATATTACGTTGGGACGGCTCTTGGTCCAGCTTCCGGAAATCGACCGTGCGAAGTTGGGAGAGTACCTTTCTAGACGTACGTCTAAAGTCGTCTTGAAAGCTTATCTCGATGCGTTCGGGTTCACTGGGATCAACATCGAAGCGGCGTTACGCATTTTCCTACTTTCGATACATATTCCTTCTGGTTCGGGCCACGCGAACACACTTGAGACGTTACTCGATATGTTCGCTGGACGGTGGTATGAGGCAAACGCAGGGATTGTTGCGTTTGATAGAGACTTAGCTCTACGACTTGTACGAGCGATCGTCCGACTGAACGAGGCTCTCCACGCTGCTATATCGCATGACTTGAGCTCTCTGCATTACAGTCGACCGCACGTCACCGCACGCGATTTCACCGAGGCTTTCAGAAGGCATGATCCAAGACTACTTGTCCCTGATAGTACACTGGAGAAGATCTATACTTCTGTACGCCACGAGAAACTATGTCAAGCTCGAAACCCGACGAACGGTCGTGCGCCCTTACCAATCTCCTTAAAACGTCCTGTCCCATCACGTGTAACCTACCGTCGACAATCCGAACCTATCGTCGTTCGTATCCCACAAATTGATCCTCTTCTAACAATTCAGCTCTTCGGACAAGACCTAACGTTCGACCCACCCGTCTTAACGTTCGCGAAATCAACAGAGTCCTCCTTCCGCGTAACGGGCTCTGCATTTGGTTCCAAAACGATGGTAATGTCATGTGCAGGCCCCAACGCACCGAATTACAGCGGGATGCCACTCAGCACGAACATAGCAGTCGAACGTGCCTTCATGCGTAACACTTTCCAATTAGCGTTCATCGACGTCCAGGGGAAGAAACGGAAATATATGTTTAGCGTGGACGATCCTGTTATCCGACATGAATGGACTGGGTCTTTGAAAAGGCAGATTGAGGCTGCGAGGATTGGTTCGGCGCCTGGGTTGGAGACACCTCCTCCTGGGACCGGGAGCGCACAGATGCAGGTGTATCGGGCTGCGGAGTTGTTGTCGTTTAGTGTCTTGCAGGATACGTTACTCGCTCAAGCTCAAGACGCGAATAATACTGGTGGTGGTGGTGCTGTGGGTTCGGTGAATGGAACTGTGAGGAGGACGCCGAAGCAGGGATGGGTATCTCCTTTTGCAGGCGCAGATACGGCGCGAGAACAAGAGAATATGCATATGCGTTCACGTTCACGAAGTCAGATCTATAGACACGGAGCAGGTCGACACGAATACGAACCACCACTTAATGGGAATACACCTGGTAGTACCCTCCCCGAGGATCGACCACCAAGCGACCTCGACCTCCTTGGCGACAGCCCAGTTCCCGGACCAACTGTCAGTGCTCCTGAAGCGAACGCACGTCTGTGGACAGGAGCAGAGTTAGAACTCGTGTGTCAGCAGAACAGCGCGATCGCACTTGTGTTGAGCTTTTTGCAGGCGGCGTTGCCGTTTGATGTTGAAGAGGATGCTGCCGCGAATAATTTGAATAATGGTGGGGTTAATAATGGGATGAATGGACCTGTTGGGAATGTGTTTGCGCCTCAATCTGTTCAGCGGAACTTGTCTCAGTCGTCTGCGTATCAGATTTGATTATTCGTGAGTTCTTCTCTGTCGTTAATTCTAGAACACATTTGACTAAAAATATGTAATTTTTTAAGTCTCGCTCATATCTAACTCCCTCATGCTCCCTCCCCGTCGCTATTCTTCATATGTTCCTTGACTCCATCTGGATCTATATAATCCTATTTCGCTCTCCTGTCCTCAATATCCATAACGTACATACATGCATACATTACTCTGTTGTTCACGTATTTACATGTGTTGCTTGTAGTAGTCTCTTTCTCTTTCTTAGTTTTTACCTGCTCTACTGTCGTCATTGTCGTTGCACGTAGTCTCCATGCTCATGCTGTCTTATAGTCAACCTCAGTTCAGTTTGCGTATATCTTCTGTCCTCCTGCATACGTTAATATTATTCAGATTTCTGTTGCTTTGGATATATTGCTTTTTGTTAATGGGCCCAGAAACGTTCTCTGACTTCTTGAATGATTAGTGATAACAAGGTGAGGAAATAATTGAGGAACAGAATAGAGGACAAATCTTTCAAAGTTTCAACTGTTCTTTGTTTACTATATAAGCTTCGTTTGTTATTAGAGGTCAGTCTGCAACGTTTTGAAGTGTGTATATATTCAATATTGTTACACAATAGTATTCTACAAATCCACAAGCTGACTTTATACAATACAGGAAACAGTTCGAGTACTACAGGAGCTAATATAAACTAGTAAGTACAGACGTTTTGAGGGAAAAGGAAAAGGAAAAGGAAAAAGAGAAAGAGAAAGAGAAAGAGAAAGAGAAAGAGAAAGAGAAAGAGAAAGAGAAA